AGTGAGCATCGCATCTCTTGTGGAGTCTGGATGGGATAGAGTGTACCACTGCTGTGACAAAGCGGCCGAGGTTGAGAAACCCTGCCCTAGATCCAAACCAATGACGGGTTAAATTGCAGGAGGGCAAAGCCAACCCCTTCTCTCAGGGCCAAAGCAAGGGGGCTGGCCCATCCTTGGGGGGATGCAGACATGGAGCACCTCTGTGCCATGCTTGGGGTGGGCAACTGGGCCTCCATAAAAGCACCCCCAAAATTCAAGGAGAGATCAGCGACCGTCCTGTTGCCTTTCCTTGCCGGTGGGGAAACCCCGGAAGGAGAGCTCCAGAAATGCAATTTAGAGAAAAAAGAGGTGGCTGCTTAAAACACACGCACCCACACTCCTTTCGCAGCCTTCACCCTTGTTTTGGTGGCGCAGGTGCCCTTGTCAACTTGCTGATCGGAGAGCTGTTCCTGCAGTCTTCCCGGTCCTCCGCCTACGTCATCGGAGAGTTTTCCCACTGGTTCCTGAACGGCTTGACGGTCCTGATCTTTATCCATATAGAGGTGGGTGATCCCGCAGCGCCTCTCCGGCCACCTCTCCGAGTCAGAAAGCAAGCCGATTCCTGCATCAGGAAGGCTAGTGACCCCTTCTGGGGCCAGGGAAGGTCATTCGGTGTCCCCAAGGCTGAGAAACACAAAGGGGTTGCAGAAGGACCACCCGCCCTGGAGCTTGGCCGAAAGAGATCCAGAGGACCCTTTCGATCTTGACCTTTCCCCTTCGCTCTCTAGACCTTCGTGGGGCCCTACAGCCTCCTCCTTTGCAGCCCCATGAGCATGGCGGCTTTCTTTTACGTCTTGAAGATGATTCCCGAAACCAAGGGAAAAACCTTTTTGGAGATCCGGGGATTGGTGCCAGCCTACAGGTCCAGGAAGACTCTGGTCCAGGAGCCCCCGAGCGAATAAAATCAGCGCCTTCCGCTCAGACTTTGAGTCCGGATAAAGCCATGGCGGCTCGGAAGCGTCCTTCTTCCCCGAAACGGAGAAACCCAGCCCTGCATTTTTTAATCCTGTTCTGCGAAACCAGCCGGGACGCGGCGCCTTCCGTGTTCTTGGACTGGGGCAAGGCGTGGTAGCCCGTTCTTCGTGGCTTGACTTGCTCCCTTGTAAATAGCGAGGTGTGTGTTTGTTTTCATAAAAGTTTCTTGGGACGTAAACGTGGATTTTGCGTGTTCAGTCGTCCTCCAAACACCCCCAAAGAGGCCCTTTTTCCCAGTCCGTTGGAACAAGTTCCCTGCTGGGTGGAAAAACCGGCTGGGCATCACAAGCTTTGGCACCGGGTGAATTCAGTCGTGGCGGTTGGCAAACCGGGGTTGATGGCTTAGCGTAAGGGGTTAAGCTTAACCTGTGGTTTGTGGTTTGGTGTAAGGTGTGAACTGCAGCCCCCAATGGACTGGATTCCCTCACTGAGCTCGCTTACGCTCACAACAGCCTTGCAAGGTAGGCCAACCCGAGGGGATTTGGGAAGAGTGCTCGTTCCAAACCGGATCTGAGTCTCTGCATATTCCCTGTGTTGTGAAATAAAGGGGGATGTTTTTTAGAACTGGGAACAGGGGAATAATAATAATATTATTATTATAATTATTATTATTTATATATTGCCCGGCTCCTGGCGACTCTGTGCAGTTTACAAATTGTTAAACACCTTTTAAAGCAGAGAAACAACAACAGAGTAACATCCTCTGCCTTATAGGTTCAATTTATTCAGCCCCCCCCATTGATTTAGTAGCATTGGTACTAATAACCACCACATCTGGCTATCTCAGGTCCTTGGGAAGAACTCGATAGGTAGATAACAAGGCCAGATCCAGTCTAAACATCTGGCCGACTGTGGGACCAACCGTAATAATAATAATAATCCTTCTCAGCAACACTGTGCAGTTTACCAATGGCTGTTTCCTTGTGTTTAGATGTTTTCAGCAAAGAACAACAAATCGCGTTCTTTGAAGGTTCAGATTATTCAGTTGATCTGGAACTGCTGGAGGCAGAAAATCCCTTCCATAAATCCGATTGTGGGTGGTGGGATCAAATGCACCCCTTTCCCCTTTCTTTGGGTCCCTAAGCCAGATTAAAGGGACACGGCATTTTCTTCGAAAGGGGAAACTCACGGCTGATGGTTGACGGACAGACGGACAGACAGACAGACCCCTTCAAGTCCGCCTTGCAACTGCCCGGGCAGGTCCCCGCAGCTTTGCGGGCAACCTTTTTGGAAGCGGTTGGGCCCTGGCGCCTGCTTCATGCTGTCCCGGATTACTTAATACCCTTTAACAAAATGCCGTAGCGAAGAGGGAGGCAGGTGTGCCGAACTTAGGAATGTCGAAAAGCAAGTTGGGCACCTCCGCCGCGATTAGCCATCCTCATCCCAACCCTGTAAGGTAGGCGCGGACGAGCTCGGGTTAGCCCAGCCAGGATTTGGTGCCAGGTGGAACTCAGGACCTCTTTGGCCGACGGTTTTCGGGGTGACGGCTAGAAACGGCGTAGATGGCCTGCTCGTTTGCAGAAATCAGGGACACCCACCGCTTTTTGCAGCTGTAACATTTTTGCCGGGGGGATTCTAATAGCCAGCGCTTAGCCGGGAGAATGCCAATTCTGGGAAAAGACGGATGTACGCCAACCTTGTAAAGTAGGCTTTCGCCCAGAGGTTTCCCTGCCTCGCACGCCTGGGGCTCTGGGTATCTCCACCCACGTCCCTGCAAGGTGGTGGTGGCTGGTTTGGGTCTGGTTCAGCCCCGCAAGGTGATGGTGGCTGGTTTGGGTCTGGTTCCACCTTTCCTCTTCCAGCCTGGTGCGTTTTTCTTTTAATGAGCAGCCGGATTTCCGTCGTCGTGATGGGAGCTGGGCAGCCCCTGCGTGACATTAAATTAACCAGTGAAGTGTGTGGGACTGGCCCAAAGGCGGGTGCGGGTTTCGTGCCAGGATGCGTGGCGTCCTCTCCTTGCGGATCCCAACCACCACATTTTTTTCCACCCTGCAGAATTTTAAAGGCAGGGAGCTGTGTTTGTTTGCTCGTCTGGGCGACAGTTTTGTGGCTAAGAAACGCCACAATCCTGCTTCCCCTGCCAAGTCAGGTGTGTTACAGGGAGGTGTGCTGCCCTCCCGGCCTTCCTTGCTTGCCGACAACTGCCCCGGGCTGAGGTTCGAAACAACCCGAGCGAGGAATTGCAGAAAGAAATCTGTTTTTTTTTTTCTTTAATGCCCATTCCGGCGATCGCTCTTTCCTTTCCCAAAGTAGCCTGGTGATGGAGAGTTTTCATCAGGCTGTTGGTGGAAAATTGCTGCTCTCCGACGGCAGAGAGCAAAGTCAAGCTGTGAAGTAACAAGGTTTGTGTGCCAGAGAGTCCAAGGGCAGCAAAACAACACAATTGCTTGTTTAAATTTGAATGTGCATCTCGCAGGTGCAATTTTCTGCTCCTCTGGTTTGGATGTGAAAAGGGGCTTGACGGGAAATAGGTAAGTTGTGTGTTGGGGGGGTCTCTTTAAACTTATTTCAGGATTGGAGTGTGTAAAAAAAAAGCGGGGGTGTGATTTTGCACCATGTCTGTCTGGGCTTATATGGGGCACGGGCTTTTCCGCTTCCCTTCTAAGCCTGTTTTTCAATCCAATTCATCCCATGCATTTTTAAAGCAGAGATTTGGCCCTTCGACCGCCGATTCTACCTGTTGGACGTCATTTATTGTCTTATCGATCGAAAGAATTTGCCCGGCTTTTTCCTCTCCCGGCTGGCGTCTCATCAGCGGGGCGAACGAAGAAAATGTTAACATGGGTGAAATGAACGCCGGAGCGTTACTTGTGCTGCAGTTCGGAAACACGACAGGCTGCAGTTTTAGGGTTTTAGCCTTTTCTGCACTCTGCTGTTCCCCGTTTTGTCCCAGTTTAGAGTTTCCAGCGTGGCCAGTTATGCTGGTAATTATAAAAGGGAGATGAATGATGTTCCTTAGTCCAAAAGTGGGGTAGAGGGGCTGCTTGAGAAGAAAATGCCATACGCGTGAGAATCCAGAGGACCAGGGAGGCGGTTTCTGAATGGGAGATGAAGCTCCGTCAAGTTGCTAGTCCTCAAGCTAAACTCCAACTCCTGCAACCCATCGCTGTGGGTGACTTACTGGCCGTTCACACTCCGCTCCTTCGGTGTCGTTTTGATCGGCTTGATGGTGTCCTTAGGGGCAATATGCAGTTATTTGCACAAAGGAGACGCCAAGGAAAGCTTGGAGCCTGGAACCGGAGGATTCGATTTAAACCGGAGCAGGGGGAGGCATTTAAATGCTGGCTCAGGTCATATCATAATTCCAGTCTGGTCCAAGGGGTAGCGGGGGGGCTGACTTTGAAATCTCTGCCAAACTTGGATCTGAAGCGGATGGCAAGACCAGACCCAAGGAACGGCTCCGGATTCCAGATCGAACGAAGGGCTCTAGGCAACCTGGCGATGGGAATCAAATCAAGCATTCGAGTTGCATGGGAGTCGATTCAGGGACCCTGACCCCTGATTTTACTGAACCAAACAGTAAACCAAGCGTGACAGCCGAAAACGCCGCCAGCCGGGGCCAAAGGTCCCATTCGCCTTGCTGCGTCCGCGAATTTGGCCCCAGCTCCAAATTCATTTTTTTATCTCGCCACGTGCTTTTTTCCCCCACCGCTGCTAAATCGTCCCGCTTTGATATTAACAAGCTGACCCAAGATGCACTTTTAGACTCTCGCTTTCAAATGCCAGCTCTCTGCAGATAAACCTCGGATACTTTTTTATTTTTAATGCTTTTAAAAAAGCC